GTGAAAGGCTGCGTTACAGACATGAGTTAAAACAGGTGCTGTGTCATTCAAGTAGAGAGGGTCTTTAAAAATATAAAAGGCAAAGCACCAGCTCTAAAATCAGCAGGACTCCTCGGCTTTCCTGGTTCAAAGCTCCTCTCCAGATGAAAGTGAGAGTGAGCAGGAAGCCTGAAATGATGCATTTCTCAAAGCCCTAATCCTACAGTTGACTTCTAAAGAAAAGAAAACTGACATCTGTCAACTCTTCAGGGAGCTCTAGACACAGTGCAAACATTGTCAGCGATGGTGATTCTGCATTGTCAAGGAATTTAAGGGACAAATGTTGGTAAAAAATGCAAACCCAAAGTAGTATTTCAACCCCGGGACCTATGGGTACCCTGAATCTGAAAGAAGGGCTCCAGAGAGACAGGAAAACAATCAAGGATACTTCACTTTTTCATATGTAGGATCACTAAATGCTTCAGCAAACACCAAAAAGGGAAAGCAAGGATGTTTGTATAAGGAAAATAGTCTCCATTAAATCTACTTGAATGCTTTTAGGGAATGAAAATGGCAATAAGAAGCAAACAAAATATTTCTTTTATTTAGACTTTCAAAAGCCTTTGATGAGAGATCATACCAAACTTACTCATCAAGGATTTAGTAGACGCTTTATTGTGTAAAAAGAACCAGCTCACAGAAGGGAAACACCACACAAGCAGTAATCTCATAGGGATCAAGGTTGAGATCGTAAATGGTTGGAAGCAAGAGCACACAGTGAAATTGCTAAATCCAGAGGTAATGGTTGGCTCTTATGAGCAGAGAAAAAATAAAAAATAAACACTAAAAAAATGTAGTAGAGCAAAGAGAAAACTATAATAAATGAGATTTACTTCAAAGGTCTTATGTCAGAAAACAAGTTTGAATTGAAATATATAATCATGCAAATTTTTGTAAATTAAAGTTTCAAGTTATCTGTCCAGAACCCAAGGAAAGGGCTCTAGGACATCAGAAAATGAGTCGTTATAGTAATTACAGAGGTCAGCAGATGTAGAAGCTAAGGTTTTGTTGTTTGTTTGTTTGTTTGTTTTGACAGGCAGAGTGGACAGTGAGAGAGAGAGAGAGACAGAGAGAAAGGTCTTCCTTTGCCGTCGGTTCACCCTCCAATGGCCGCCGCGGCCAGCGCACCATGCTGATCCGAAGGCAGGAGCCAGGTGCTTCTCCTGGTCTCCCATGGGGTGCAGGGCCCAAGCACTTGGGCCATCCTCCACTGCACTCCCTGGCCACAGCAGAGAGCTGGCCTGGAAGAGGGGCAACCGGGACAGAATCTGGCACCCCGACGGGGACTAGAACCCGGTGTGCCAGCGCCTCAGGCAGAGGATTAGCCTATTCAGCCATGGCGCCGGCCAGAAGCTAAGGTTTTAACATGATATGATTCGAAACCACCTTCTGTTACCTTCTTTGTGCCTAGCATTGTGCTGCAATCGTTCTTCATAAAATTCCTAATTCTCGCCATAACCATATGACTTAGGCATCATTGTCCCTAAGCCGTAAAGGAACTGAGGACCAGGGAAACTGAGTACTTTACCCAGATTAGTGTGGCTAGGAAGCGGCTGAGCCGGAATTTGAATCCAGAGAAGTCTTCTTCCGTAGCCTGTGCAGAAAAGCAATAGAAAACCTAAGATAGAAAAATGCAGAAGATAAGGAGAGATGTAGATAGACAATAGATAGATGGTAGATGATAGGTACGTAGATAAGATTTATCTGTATCTCTGCCTACTTAGTTCCCCATGAGATTCCTACAGCCAGAATACAAGATACATCTCTGCTTGTGGACCTCAGAAAGAGCAAGCACATGAAATGGAACAATGGAGGAATACGGAAATTTCCGTGATGGGAAGATGAATACTTGGAAAATGTGTCACGCCTGTCAAGTACAGCTTTGGGTGTTCTCGTGTGTCTCTGCTGTGTCAGGTCTGTTCTGAAAGCTTTCACCTGTCCTCCCATGGAACCTTCATCAAGTCCTTCTTTTGTTTGCTCCATACCACAGTGAGGAGTTTGAGGTTTGAGAGTTAACTTGCCCTCCCTGCCCCATGAAGCATCCAGAAAATAACAAGGCAAAAATTTAGACTATAAAGACTCCTTCACCTAGGAATAAGGCTAAGAAAAGAATATTTTATGGATGCATGTTTTTTAAAAAGCACAGGATAAAAATAGGTTACAGAATAATATCTATAAAGTTGTAGACCAGAGGCCCATGACAAGTTACTAAGTGAAGTTAGACATTCAGGCATGTTCATAACCTTCTAAGTTTAACTTCCTACAGGACAATATGAGCCCTCCTCTGGTGCTTTTATAAAATATAAAGTTAGACCAATAGGCTGAGGTTGACTTTGGAAGACAATTCTTGCAGAAACAGAACCATTCAACCAGGAGCTAGCAGTCAGACCCAGGTTGCCTGGTGACCTCTCTGGGGCCTCACTTGCTTGCCATGAGGGTCTACACCACTTTACCTTAAGCTGTGTTCCAGTTCCAAATTCTATAGCGTCCTCAAGAGCCAAAGGGACCTGACCTGATTGTCTCTCTCATCATCTCCCTTTCGGCAACCACTCTTTAGAAGTGCTCTGATTGAGCATTGAAATGACCAAGGAAAACATCATTGTTACAGATGATTTCAATTATTATGCACAGCAGAAATCAAATCACAGATCTGCATCTCCAGCCACATCCAGATGTCCTGGGCCACTAGCCAGCCATGACTCTGTGGGTGCTCCGTGGAGCCTTGCACAATTAGAAAAGCGAATCTGCTCAAACCATAATGAGAGCAGCAATGAATGTCAAAGCTAAGGAGAATTATTTTTAGATTTGCAGTCTTAGAGCATCTGCATTACTGCTCTCATCCACATGTCCTCAAGAACAATGTCAGCAAAGGGAAATCTGAGGACAGAAACACCCAGGGGATGTAGACAGTTCCCATGTCTGGGGAAGGTGGGAGATGTGGTAAGGGGGTAAGACATGCCTCATGTGAGGAGGATGGGGTGGGGGAGGTGGTATGAATATGGAAGACTGTATCATTGAGAAGATGATGAACTGCCAGGAGCAAAATTGCTTGGGTGTAAACCTGGGTTTGGCACTAACTCGCTATATGACACTTATTTTCATTGGGCCTAAATTTCCTCATCTATAAGACATATAAAGAATCCACTTACGTCACTGGGTTGTCAGCGGGTCTGAATGGCTTAAACGTGTAAAGTCCTTGTGGGTGTTGGCCTGGCACTCTCTTCACTGATGTTATTCATGATCTGGACCAGCGAGAGGACCTGCCTTCTCTCTCTGGGGAAGATGGCTCAGGCAGGCCACGTGGTACCTCTTCTCTTTCTGCAGCCTCTCCTGCTAGGGCAGAGCTACATTTGATTCACTGAAAGCTAAACGGTGCTTGTTCTCCTCCCCTGCCCCCGGAGAAAAGGCACTTCTCACACAGCCTTCCCAGAGTTTGTGGCCCTTCCTCTTAAAAACTCGAAGCAGAGCAGAGGTACGCCTGTGTCTCCGCTCAGTCCAGTTGACCCATGTGGCTTGCTTTACACAGTCTTGTTTCTCGAACCTGATACACCTTGAGCTTCCACTTATGGCTGCTACCACTCAGCCTTTCCTGTCTTCTATATCTTTGTGCAGCATGAACAAGAAGGAAAAAAGAACCGGATTCTCTCCCCGAGCTTCTCTACCGAGATGAAGAGGAAGAAGTAGAGCAGGACGCAGAGGCAGAGTAAGGAGGGCTGGCGTGGGTAAGCCAGCACTTTCATCCTGCTGAAACCCCCCAGACCCTCGCTTCTCTCTCACTCACACCTGAAACTGCACACCTGACCAAGGACAGGCACTTAACCAGGTTTGTTAAATTTGCTTATTGATTTAAAAAATCCAGAAGACTACAGGCTCTAAAACCAATAGGAAATGATTCCACCTCCTTGGACGCACCATGCTCTTCCTCCATAAAACTGAAAATATCTGCTTGAAATTGCTCCCCTCAGATGTGACAAGAAGGAGCACAGAGGGCGGCCACTGATACATATAAGCCCTGAGATTGTCCTCTCACCAAGGAGCATTAAACGGCAAAAGCCGAGCTCTTTGCAAGCTTCCCAGCTCTTTCATCCAATTCACCTGTTGTCATTTGACCCAGCTTAATCGTTCTTGCATTCCATGGTGTAACAACTATGGACAAAGTCCATTTTCTACATTGATTATAAACAGTGATGATCAGAGGAACCAATGGTTGACTATTTATTTAAAGTAATAAAAAAAAAAGTGAAGCGGGGTGTGGGGGGGGCAATCGGATCTATTGCAAAAAGCCAGACTTCTTCCTGTGGCTCACGTGGCCTCCATTCTACTTATTACAATCAGGGCATAGACCTAGGCACCGTCTGTGTTGCAAATATTGCCTGCAAAGGAGTCACTGGATAATGGTTAGAAAGTGATGGGATGGAAAATGTGGAGCATGCTCTAACTCTGAAAGGCGAGTTGGAACACACACTGCCTCTTCTCATGTTGACAGCAATTAGTAGAAGTATGAGGGCCATGGGTTTCCTGACACACCCAGCAAGGCTCTCCCACAAAGCATCCCTGCTGCTTAAGTGTCTACCCCATGCCTGGCTCAGATAGGAGCCTATATTTAAGACTAAATAAAGATGGATTGTCTGGTTACCCCAGTGACTTTTTTTTAAAGATTTTTATTTATGTATTTGAGAGGAAGATTTACAGACAGTGAGAGGGAGAGACACTGCTTCACTCCCCAAGTGGTTGTAATGGCTGGAGCCATGCCAATCCGAAGCCAGGAGCCAGGAGCTTCTTCCAGGTCTCCCATGTAGGTGCAGGGGTCCAAGCACTTGGGCCATCCTCCACTGCTTTCCCAGGCCATAGAAGAGAGCTGGATTGGAAGAGGAGCAGCCGGGACTAGAACTGGTGCCCATATGGGATGCTGGCGCTGCAGGCAGAGGATTAACCTGCTGCACCACAGCACTGGCCCCTAACCCAGCGACTTTTTCCCAGAATCTCAAATGGGTCACGGAAAGTTCTAGTTTCAGGAATCCTGATTCTGTTCCTTTTTATGAGCAGCTAAACCCTTCCACACTCCCCACCCCGCACCTCAGCTTTGTTTTCTGCTTGAAATGATGATGAGTGGGATATGTCTAAGGCGTTCACCTGCCTTACCTTTTTATCATTCTCCGACACAGCACTGAGGACAGCCCAGAAACGCTAGAGTAGGTCAGGGAGCAGGGAACAGAAGCAGGGACCAAAGACCCATTAGATGTCCTGAGAGACCAGGACCCCATGATCTTCATGGCCATGGAGGACCCACAAAATGATAATGAGAGCACAAAGATTGTTTGAATGTGGAGGTCAGAAGTGATGCATTGCAAGGAAAGGGGCTAAAATGAAAGCTTCTCCAGGAAAAAAAAAAAAGTGGGCTAAGAAAACAGCTATAGGGATTGTAGTCCAGACAGCAGGAAAAGCTGCTCTATTTTTCTAAATAAATCAGTAAGACTTGGCTCACGGGGAGGGGGCCAGGAAGAGACCCATGAGCCATCACCACCTCTCCTGGCCCACCCTCTAACTTCCACCTGACCCTTCCTCCCTAACAGGACCGCACTCCCCAAGCTGTCCCTACCCCTGCCACAGGTGCCTCTGGGCAGGCTGTGCATGGACAGCCCCAGCAATGCCACCACGCCCTGCGGCTTTCTCCTGCAAGGCTTCTCAGAGTTCCCACACCTGAGGCCTGCACTCTTCCTGCTGCTGCTGGCTGTACATCTCGCCACCCTGAGCGGGAACCTGCTCATCTTGGTGGCCGTGGCCTCAGTGCCCAGCCGGCCGCCCATGCTGCTCTTCCTGTGCCAGCTGTCAGCCATCGAGCTCTGCTACACGCTGGTGGTGGTGCCCCGCTCCCTGGCCGACCTCACCATGCCTGGCCAAAGCAGGGGAAGCCCCATCTCCTTCCTGGGCTGTGCAGTTCAGATGCAGATGTTCGTGGCACTAGGAGGGGCGGAGTGCTTCCTGCTGGCCGCCATGGCCTATGACCGCTACGTGGCCATCTGCCATCCGCTGCGCTATGCAGCTGTGGTGACCCCAGGATTGTGCGTGAGACTGGCCCTGGCCTGCTGCCTCGGGGGCCTAGCCGTGTCCGTGGGGCTCACAGTGGCCGTCTTCCACCTGCCCTTCTGTGGCTCCCGCCTGCTGGTACATTTCTTCTGCGACATCACAGCGCTCCTGCACCTGGCCTGCACGCGGAGCTACGTAGACGAGCTGCCCTTACTGGGTGCCTGCCTGGTGCTGCTGCTGCTGCCCTCAATGCTCATCCTGGCCTCCTACTGTGCCATCGTCGCCGCCCTGCGCCGCCTGCGCTCCGCCAGGGGCCAGCGCAAGGCCGCCTCCACCTGCGCCTCTCACCTGGTAGTCACCTTCCTGCACTATGGCTGTGCCACCTTCATGTACGTACGGCCCAAGGCCAGCTACTCCCCACGGTTGGACCGCACGCTGGCGCTGGTCTACACCAACGTCACACCGCTGCTCTACCCACTTATTTACAGCCTGCGCAACCGCGAGATCACCACTGCCATCCGCAGAGTGCTGGGGCGCCGGCAACCAACCCAAGCCGTGGGTCAGGGTCTGTGTGAGCTGTGACAGCAGACATGGCCCAAGCCAGAGTGGGAAGTTCCGCTCCATACTGTCTACCATGAGGTGTCTGTATCGGGAAGGCTAGCGTGCAGAATGGGAGTGGGGAGTGGTGCGGCACTACAAATCTTATTTCTGAAAAGAGAACTTGAAAACATGTCCCTGCAAAGGGCACCTTGCCCCATCGTCTCCCCCTCCCTTGGGAGTAGCCAAGACAATGTAGTACAGAGCTCTGGACCTGGATTCAGTGGTTCTACAAAAATCCGTTGAGGACTTTCAATAACCTGGAACCTACACAAAATAGTGGACTTGCAGTGATGAAGCAGGCACAACTCATGGCCTCGGGACCCTCCAGCAGGGGTGAGAGGGACAGATGTGAGTAGACAGGGGCTAGATGGAGTAGCTCAGAGGAAGCGCTTCCTTCCAGACTGTTTGAAGCCTAACCAAAGTCGGGGGAAATTTGTTGGGGAGAAATGATAGCTAAGTGGAGAACTAGAGGATGAGCAGGGGGTAAACCAGGTGAAGAGAAGGAAGAAGAATGTTCCTGAGAACTGGTTGACAGGGACTCGGATACCTGGAAGACAACTTGCAAACAGCTGAAGGATTTGAGTTCATGAAGTGGTCAGTGACTTGCCCTTGCATAATCACTCAGGCTGCAGGATGGACTGGAGAACCACCTGGGAACCACGAGAGAAGCCATGGAGTGTGGTCATTAGGGATTCTGTTACGTGGGAAGAGTCGAGAGATATGCTGGAGGTGGACACTTCAAGATATGAGTGGATGTGAGACAAGGAAGAAGGAGCAGTTCAGGACCATTTCTTTTCTAGGTCATTTGATGGAGGATAGATCCTTTGCTAAGAAGAACACAGGAGCAGGTGTAAGTGGGAAGAGGGGGATGATGGCTCTGTTTTGAAATGCTGAAAGGCCAAGCCAGGGGAGATGCTGATTGATGTTGCAAATATACCAACCCAGAGCTCAGGTGAGAGATTCGAGAGGGAGAATTGGAGGTGCAGATGGCTACTGAGACTGTGGAGGTGGGTGATAGAACCCAGAGAAGGAGTATAAATGGGGAAGAAAAGGGGCCCCTGCTGGGCTGCAGAGGAAAGCTGGCAGGCATGGAAGGAGTGGGAGGAGGCTGGGGAACGTCTACGGAGCTCCATGGCCTGGCTTTCTTTGCCTCTGCAGCCTCAGTTGCCTCTCCTGCAAATGAGAACCAGGACTAAGTCTGTTAGTTTGATTCCTGCTCTGATCCCTTCAGAGGGAGCATGCAAAGATGCATCTGGATCACTTAAAATGAACAAAAGGAAATAGGGATCCATAATTTAATGCCAACTGAATGCATGTGAACTGATGAATAGGCAATTAAAGGAATGGTCAGACATGGGCATGAATTGGGAAGGATTCCTAGAGAAGGCTGGGGTATCTGAAATGGCTTTGGAGAAAGTGGTTGATTTGCTGTGATTCCAATCATCCACTTCCCAATCTGATTCGGGGAGGCTTACGAAAGAAGAGTCACGTGACAGAAGGCCTGGGCACACGCTTTTCCAGACTCTCTCTCTCCAAGCGCAGCCACTTTCCTGGGCTGTTTAACATGGTTTCTAGAGTTAGAAACTATCAGAACGATTGATATTTGTCCCAGGGTATATTTCTGATGGGAACCCTAAGTGCAGATAGCCCTGAGAAGCTAAGTGGGGCAACTTAATGATGCTCTTGGGCTCTCTCCTCTGACTTCGGGGGATAGGAGCATGACACAAACATGGCTACACACTGGGATGGTGCACTGGCTTCAACAGGGCAAGACAGAGTCAAGGATGATGTGCTGTGGTCCACAGAAGACATGGCTCTAAACTGAAGCTCTTCTGGGATGGGGATGAGAAGGGACAGATGAAGTAGGATGTGGTTAAGACATTAACAATGTGGAAAGAAAATAGCTATTTAGAATAAATAAACTTAGGTTTCTTCTTCCGAAAATATGCACCACATAATAAATGTCAGATGAGCTAAATATTTAAATGTAAAATACAAAGCCATAAAAAGTCAATGGGTTAAAAATAAAAACATAAGCTTGTCTCAGGATGGAGAAAGACATTCTAAGCACAAAGTAGAGAGTCTTTTTTTTTTTCATTTTTTTCTTTTTCTCAACTTTTATTTAATAAATATAAATTTCAAAAGTACAACTTTTGAATTATAGAGGCTTTTCCCTCCATAACCTCCCTCCCACCAGCAACCATCCCATCTCCCAATCCCTCTCCCATCCCATTCTTCATCAAGATTCATTTTCAATTATCTTTACATACAGAATATCAACTTAGTATATACTGAAGGGAGGAGAGAACTTCCACTTTGACTATGGCCTTGTCTAAATAAGATCGGAGTTGGTGAACTCAAGAGGCTCCCATAGCCTTGGCAGCTTATGACAAGAGCCTCAGGTGATTACTGACATCATAAACAAGAGTGTCAATTGTTAAATCAACAACAGGAGTCACTGTGCACTTACTCCCCATGTAGGACCTCTGTCCTTATGTGTTGTACTATGTGAATTAATGGTAAAACTACTACTCAAACAGTACTTTATACTTTGTGTATCTGTGTGGGTGCAGTCTGTTGAAATCTTTACTTAGTATATACTAAGTTGATCTTCTGTATATAAAGATAATTGAAAACGCATCTTGATGAAGAATGGGATGGGAGAGGGATTGGGAGATGGGATGGTTGCTGGTGGGAGGGAGGTTATGGAGGGAAAAGCCGCTAAAATCCAAAAGTTGTACTTTTGAAATTTATATTTATTAAATAAAAGTTGAGAAAAACTAAGAAAGAAAATTTAAAAAATAAAGTATGTGTATACACGCACACACACACACATATATATATATACATACACATGCAAGCATATAAGCAAGTGACAAATTGGAAATCTGTACTCACAAGCAATATTACAAATAAAAGTAATCTTTTACAAAAAAGCAATTAGAAAAATATGAACATCATAGTTGGCAAAAGATAAACAATTCATATAATTTTATAAAGTCTATAAGTTCAACTTCATTAGTAATGAAAAGCTCAGGCTATAAAGTATTTGTCTCCTGTCAGACTTACAAAGAATTTGTCTGACAAATCTGTGGTAGCAAAATTACACCAAGAACAGCACTCAGATGCTGCTAACAGACAACTTTGAAGAGCCCATTCCTCCCTCTTAAGTCATGATCCTTACTAATATTCATCTTCTTTGATTCTCTAATTCTACTTTTTGAAATCTACCCTGAAAAAAACAATATGATATATTGAGAAAGAATTTTATAAGGGATAATAATTACAGTATTTTTATGTTAGCAAACATTTCAAAACTATAGGTCCAATAGTGGAGTAATGATTAAATAAATAAATATAATGGAACATTTAAAGTCTAAGTGAAAAGAGCTTTTTGATTATTTGACTTTGACTTCAGGAAATGCCCATGTTGTAATGTTGAATGAAATTTTCAAGATGTCAAATCAATAACCCCTGAAAAACAAGTACACAAATGTACACATGCACTTAAATACAAGGGTACTTCAAAAGGTTCTTGGAAAATGCACATTATGAAAAACCTGTACATGGAGTTCAAAGTTTTTGCATCAAAATAAACTTCTTTTCATCCCATTTTCCATGAATGTTTTGAATTCATCATATATTAAGTACCAAATTTTTAAATTAAAAAAGTTCTTCCTATGTGATGAAATTATAGGTTATTTTTTATTTGTTTGTTTGTTTGTTTGAGATTTTAAAAGATTTATTAGAGTCAAAGGCTTCCAGCCAGAGTGGGGACTTCCAAGAGAGGAAAAACCCAAAGAGCCCCATGGCACTGGAGTTTTAAAGTACAATTTCAAGGAAAAAATTTTGACAATCAGATTGGTATTCAGTTACCAGGTAGGGACAAAACCCATCAAAAGACCTGATCTGCAGTTCTCCATCCTGTCTGGCCTGCTCACAATAAAACAAAAAACCATCCGGAAAGGAGGGATAGGTAACTTGTTGTTACAATACACTGTGATCACCACTCCCTTGCTATTCTCATGGTAAATTTGGAGATTCTGAAGGAAGGGGGTGGCTTACTCATTCTTGAATTTGGGGAGGCAAAAATACTACACCCCAAATTCCATTGGGACCACCCTGACCACCTATTAACCCATCTGACTCCTCACATTCCCCCCTTAACAAGAATGTACCCTAACCTCTGTTAGGGGGACTGGAGGATAATCGCTCTGACTGCTTCGTGTTGAAAAGCAGCGTCTTTGGGAAGGGGAGTCAAGACAGGGTTCCAGCGGGAGGTAGCTTCTCCAGGGGGATACAGTGCCAGCTTGCAGAAACTGTTTCCATAGGAGGTTTTATGTGCATGGCCACCTAAAAGTTTACTTTTTCAAGTCTGGAGAGAATGAATCTAACAAGCAGTTTAAACTCACACGATCTAAGGACAGAGCCATTATTAAACATTCATATTTCCCCCACAAGGCAAATAAATACATGGAATTAAACTCTGGAAGTACAATTTTAGAAAAATGATACATTTATTAATTTTAATTACTTAAATTTAATTTTAATGCCATTAATTTTAATTAACACTGACACTTGCCCCTCATAGAAGCTGAACAGATGCACGCTTTCACCAGCAATGTACTGGCATAACTGTTTTATCTGCCTAGCTTTGTGTTATTTTCTAGACTGTTGTCAATTTGACAGCTTCAAGTACCATTATGTAATTTTATTTTCATTTCCCTTATAAATGTAATTGAAACATTTATGTGAAAAAGCCATTTGCATTTCACTTTTTGTGGCCATCTACTCATTTCCTTTGCTCATTTTTCTTTTTTAAAGATTTATTTATTTATTTGAAAGGCAGAGTTACAGAGGAGAGGCAGAGTAAGAGAGAAAAAGAGAGAGAGAGAGTGAGTGAGAGAGAGAGAGAGAGATCGATCCTCCAATTGCTGACTCAGTCTTCAAATGCCACAATAGCTAGAGCTGGGCCAGACGAAAGCCAAGAGCCAAGGGCTTTGTCAAGGTCCCTGGGAAAGCAACAGAAGATGGCCCAAGTGCTTGGGCTCCTGCACCCACATGGGAGGCCTGGAAGAAATCCCTGGATCCTAGCTTTGGCCTGGCCCAGCTATGGCTATCATGGGCATCTGGGGAGTAAACCAGCAGGTAAAAGATCTGTCTCTCTCTTGGTCTCTCCCTCTCTCTTTGTAGCTCTGCCTTTAGAATAAATAAATAAATATTTGAAAAAAATATATTTGTGTTAGCATTACTTGGATTAATAGAAGGCTAGAAATCTCTTAAATTTCAATCAACAAATGACTGATTAAATGCACTTTGTGGAATCTAATGCAACTGCCAAAAAGAATGAAGCAGTTTTAATTGTGACAGATATTATAGAAATTTGTTAAATTAAGAAACAAGGTGCATGCTAGTGTGTACAGGGGTCCTCCTTAATTCTGTTTTCTTCTCGCACTTCTGACCTTTATACTTGTTATTTCCATTTCTGGAGTATTCTCCCCACAGATCTTCCCAGGCTGGCTCCTTGTCATCCAGACACAGCTCCAGCCAAACATGGACTCCTCAAACATGTCTTTGCTGGTTTCCTTCTGCTCTCCTTCAAGTAATTCTGCTTTAATTTCTAATAATCTCTCATTATGGAAACTCACTAGCTGCTTACTTTCAGCTTAGCATTCCTTCCAACGTGTATAAATCTGTGAAAATGTGTCTGCTTCAATCACTACTGTTTTCCCAGTTCCTAAATCTGTTGAATGAATCTGTGAATCAATGTTTAAGTCAAGTATGCTAGCATGCATATACAAAACTATACAATGTGTGTTTATCTGTATATTCTCACGTATTCTACAGCTGTACACACACATACATACATACACACATGCTTTTATACTAAAGTAAACATCTGTGCTGGAGAACAGTGGTGAGACAGACCTATGCTTTTCATTAAATATACTATAGACATGCATGTATGTGTTATTTATTCAATAAACATTTTCAAACTAAAAAATGAAAATAGGCAGAGCAAGAGGATTGCACAACTGAGTTTTCTTAAAAAGAACAATCAGAAAATAGAAGAAAATCTAAGATATTATGTTGTCAAGGAAACCAGGGAAACAGAATTTCAAGGATGGAGTGATCAACCTTGCCAAATCAGACCATTGTTTCTAGCATACTATGATACTACAGCCAGAGATGGCTCTAGAGATCTGTAATCCCACCCCAAAAGCAGTAAATTCAGCTTTGCAAACCTCAGTGATGTATGTGTAAAGGGCCAGCGGCCAAAGAAGTGCATGTCCAGAAACATCGTCTACCAGAGACCACACAGTAACTGCCGAGTCCCAGCCAGTTCTGAGAATATGAAGAACTGACTCAAGTCCTGTTTAATCAACTGCTAGATGGGAAAAGAATGCTGGCTTCTATTCCAATGCTGAAATTTGTAACACTGCCTCAAGATTTGTTTTAACCCAGTACTGTAAAGGGACAGACACAGAAAGAACTGCCTTTGAAAGCAGAGTTTACCCCTTATGGCCCTCCTGCGTCATGTGATGAGGATCTCAGGCCGCTCAGGATATAGAGGAGCAAGGGAATAGCATGGTCCAGAAACTCAACTGTGGTTCCATGAGGATGAGTAGGCAAGCGAGGGCAGAGCGCTTGAGCAAGTTTTTTAGTGCTTGGCTAGTCCTGACTCTGGCCTATAGGGCTGATCTCTAGCTGTCCAGTACCTGACCGTGGGGAGATTTGGGGCAGGGGAAACATTGGCATGGTATGGGAGAGTCAGAGAAAGGGGTTGCTTGCAGATACGGACCGTGGATTGGCTGGTTTGAAGATCAATGGCATGCTCACAGGGG